GCTTTGAGAGTAAAAAAAACATACACAGACAAAACCAAATTAAACCCTGCGGCTCGTGACCATACATTGAGGTCTTAAGACATGAAACGATCGATCTGTGCAAGAAACTGAACAGTATTTATATAATTTTTTACCTCTGATCCACCGCAATGTCCGAACTGTCCTGAGTGCGTTCTCAACATCCGGCGCGTGATGCCAAATAAATACGTTTGAGCAAAAAATTCCACATTGTCTCATGATATATCAAAATCGTCTCCCATTGTGATGACCCGTACTTCTAAATATCTTTAGATCATCGCAGTGCCAGTGAACACGTCCGAAATTTCTCTGCACTGTGTAAATAATGAGTGACATGACATATACGCGTGACAGATTGCTTCCGCACATGCGTCTACTATCATAGATATGTATAGATCCATATTCGACCGCTCCAGATATGTTGACGTGTCTGCCTTTTTGGAACATATGGCGGCCCATAGAAACAGTCACTAATGAGGCATCTACTTATATATATATATCTATGTCTACTGTGCCAGAGCACGTACACGCGTCACGCGCCGGATGTTTTGAACGCGCTCAGACATTGTGGTGGATCAGAGGTAAAAACATGATATAAATACTGTTCAGTTTCTTGCACAGACCGATCGTTTCATGTCTTAAGACCTCAATCTATCGTCACGAGCCACAGGGTTTAATTTGGTTTTGTCTGTGTATGTTTCTTTTTACTCTCAAAGCCGTGGAGCCCATTGACAGCCATTATAAGACTGATAGACTGCAACGGTTTGAGTTAAAAATCTTCGTTTTTGTTCTACTATCATGCAGCCCTAGTCCATGTATAATGTTAGTAAATGTTTCTTGCAAAGGCATTGCTCTGTCATTGCTAAGGCGCTATGAGTGGGGTTTTAGCACATTCATATGTGGTTGTTCATTGGTCAAGAGAACCTCTATAATATTCTGGTATCTAAATATGGTTTGGGTCGCTCATTTTATGTAAGACAGATTTTAATTTGTTTTATTACCCCACAAAAAAACATAGGTCTGATTACTTAGAAACATGACAGCTCACCGTGAATTGAGGTATTTATTTATATTAGGGCTGTGAATATTTGGGTAGACAGCGAATCGATTCGATTCACGATTCATAGGTTTTCGATTCGATTCAAGAACGATTTTTGCATATTCACAATGATTCAATTCGATTCGATTCGATTCACAATTAAATTCGATTCGAATAACGATTCGATTCTGCATTCTTTAAGTGCATTCACAGGATTATTTAAATGCTTCCCCTAAATTCTTTAAATGCTTAGTCAGTGGCCAAACTATAAGAAAATCAAATACACTGCTGGACAATAATCAATCATTTGTAATCTATAAGTCTTTCCTAATGGCAATTTTATGACTGTTTTATATACTACAAACAATTATTTCAATTTTCTGCACAAAATAAGGTAAAAAAATATATACTTTATAGTTTCTGTAGCCTACTGTAATAAATGATATGTCAATTAGCAGTGCATCATTCATAAATTGTATTTATTTATTGTGTTTATTGTCTTAACGTTTCAGTTCATTCTGCTTTTTATACAGTTTAGCTGCAGAAACTATAGAAAAGCAAAACTACTTCACTTTAGCATTACTGGCCACGAGTACTAAGGAGAGATCACATATCAGCTGCTCAAAAAATGTGTCAGTGAGACGAACTCAATCGAGCGCAATCCTGTGACAGTCACAAGCGGTAAACAGTGCAGCGTGTGAAGGAGAGATGCGAGGCACGAACGCTGTTCAAGGTCTCCATTAATTCCTGCTTGTATTAATTAAATGTGTACCTATATATTTTGAAAGCCTATATGATTTGAAATCGCGATTCATCCGATTCTTAGTGTTTTAAATCGATTACTGTCCGAAATCGACGATTCCTTTTTAACCTCTCTGGTCTTCACAGAACATGTCCACATACATCAACAGAATGGCACAGAAACTGCCTTTCCATGTAAATATGCATCTAAATGACACTAAAAGGACTTGTGAGCAACTAATCATTTCTTTGCATAACTCCATATTATGTATCTAACCCACACATTAGACTATCATGTTTTAATCATGT